GTGTGTGCAGAATTTGGCAAATTGTGAATTCAGTCATAACTTTAAAGCAGTTTTATTTTAAGATGTTGAATGTGAAAGAGCTGCACAGTCATGGGTTTAATTACAAATGATAGATACTGCGAAAAAGTCAAGAAAGTGAAACACAGACCAATCTGGAAACAGCAACGTTTCAAAAACTTGTATTTTTATGTTAGCTAAGAGAAAATCAAAATATAAATTGCTTTTGTCAAATTCTAGGTTGCTAATATAATTGTCTGCGGTTAATCAACAGTTCTAGTTTTGCGTATCTGCAAAAACTTCCAAACAACTCCAGTTTAACTTTATCCCCCATGCACACTGTTATTACCTCTGTGCTTTTTAAAAATTATTTACACAAGCCTGTTTTGTTTTCCTGGTTGACAAATGACAGCAACAAACTGCTTCATAAGTCAATTTGGCCAGAGAGGACGTTTATTTAGTGGTGGTGAGACAAGCAATGAAATGTTCTTTCAGTCCCCATCTATATACACCACAAAGCTACATTGTCTTTGAGTGTTTGGAGAAGCACCACCCATAGAGATAGATTAAACAACACCAAAAGATAGGTATTTCAGGAAAAATTGAATAAAAGTTTAAACCAGGAGTTTACTGGAGAATAAGCAGTAACATAGAAGTAGATACAAATCCCACATGCTTGCAAAATAGAAAAGCATCATGTTTCTGAATCCTGTGGTTTACTGTAAAATTGCATTTTAGTTGGAAACTGCCAACTTGCTTCCGTCATTTAAAACATTTAACAACTTCAGTACTATAAATCAACCTATTCAAAAGCACACAATTACCCAACTACTTCCTGGGGATTTCTACATGGAGGACAGTAAAACATTGCACCCCCCTTCTCAGATGAACGGTACCCCAGAATACTTAGGGAGACAAGGCAGGAGATTTGTGCAGCATTGACAGACATTAGGAGGGAGTCAATCATCTCTGGTGAGGTTCCTACAGACTGGAAATAAACAAATGTGGTTTCCATATTCAAGAAAGATGACGGAACCATACCTGGCAACTATACACCCATTAACCTGCCCTCAATAATTGGAAAATATACGGAGTCAAACATCAGAAAAAAATGGAAGATTCTGTGTGTAAAAATATCTAACCCAAGACATGATATGGGTTCAGAAGGGATAGATCTTGTCTGACCAACCTCATAGATTTTTTGAGGAGACGACATCCCAAAATGACCATGGAAATCCATATATGATCTACTGTACTTAGGTATCCTAAAGGCATTTGACAAAGTACCACCTGAAACACTTCTTCACAAACTGATATCGCTGGATGTCCAAAGCAAAACATGGGCATGGCTTCAACATTGGCTGAAGGAGATTAAGTAACGGATAGTTATTAGGGGAGCTGGATCACTCTGGAGAGGTAATAAGTGGATAACTCAGGGCTCTGTACTGGGACCATTTTATATTCCTTTTATTCATTACGTGTGTGCATTTTAGATATTTTGAGTGAGTAACTGTTATGGTACATGCTCAATGATTCTATAAGCGACTGGCATTATAGGGGCTTTTTTTGTAGTAGGAGCTACTGTAGTTACATTTTCTGATCACTTGAGGGGAACTGTGCAATCAGAAGAAGCACAAGCAGAGGGTCTCTCTTAAGGTAGCGAGGTCAAATGGGGAGGGTATTAAACCTCAGGGGTGTGTATTGGAACCCCTTCTGTTTACCGAAGATATTTATGACCTGGATTTGCAGACCCGGTGAAAGATTGTTACATTTGCAGATTACATCAAGTTGGACAGATTTATGGAATCAGGGGAAACAGCAAAGGTCCTACAAAGAATGCTTGATAGGGTATGCACATGGGCTGATAACTGACAGATGAAGTTTAATACAGATAAATGCAAGGATCTTGCACCTTGAATACCGTATACAGTTCTGGTCACCGCAAGCTCAGGCCCTAGAGGCAGTGCACAGGAGAGCAATGAGGATGATCCCCAATCTTGACAGAAGACAACTTCAGAGGGGATCTCATGGCAGTGCATACAATTTTAAAAGGGATTGAAAAAGTAAACCCAAATAAATACTTTAGGATACAACAAGAAAGTAGAACAAGAGAGCATAGGTTTAGAGTTGCAAAGAGCAATTTCAGGACAGACACCTGGAAGTTTTTCTTTCGCAGAGGATAATCAATGACCGGAACAGGTGGCGAAGAAAGGTGGTAGAGGCCAAAACACTGGGCTAATTTAAAAAACATCTGGATGCTGTGATGGGTGGTGGGGTAGGTTTGTGTTCTGGAGGGATTAGTCTGGATGGGCCAAAGGGCCTTCTTCATACAATTTTGTGATTTAATCATGGATAGAGAGGGGGGCGGGGTGGGAAAGATAGAGGCAAAAAGTTCCAAAGATTAGGGGGTTCGTGACTGAAGGCTTGGCCACTGATGGTGGCATGAAGTGAGAGAGAAATGCACAGCAGGTCTGAATGAGCTGAGGGAAGGGAGTGAGCAGAGGAACGGATGCAAGCAGATAAGAACATAAGAAATGCTAGACGAAAAAAGACCAAGGTCCGTCTAGTTTTCCTTCCAACTTCCTGGTGGTCGCATGCACATATGTCCCAAACTACCTATGTACTATATTCCATAAAATTATTTCCTAAAATAAAACTATGTAATGTAGTTAGGAAGTTAGGGAGGAAAGTGTTAGTGCATGAAGGCATTTATATTTGAGGGTAAGGTACCTTGAAGTCAATCTATTTGGAAATGGGGAGTCAATTGAACCTGGTGAAGATTGAGGTGATGAGGGGTTGGAGGTTGGTAAAGGTTAGGTTGCAAGAAGATGGAGTTTTGGATTAGAGATCTTGATCGGGTAAGCACAAAGGCTGATGACTGGAAAATAAAGTTCATTGCAGCTAAATGCAAGATACAATGTAGGAAGTAAAATAGGAGACTGAAGAACAACTACAACAACTACTTGCATTGAAATAACGCCATTCATGCGGGGTAGCATCCTAAAGTGCTATCCTAATGAATGGGATAGAACTTGCCCTCTACAGTTTAGTTTATGAGGAATATTTTCCCCTTGACAAGAGATTAGTTTCACTACTGTTTCCCAGAAGAATTCTCCTTGAACCTCAACATGTGCAGTTAAACAATCAGAGTTGTGGAGCTTCACCATGTTGGTTAACTAGCTTAAACAAATCTACCAAATAAGACATTTTACATTTTCTTCACAGCTTGCTTCTGACCAGATTCAGTGTGCACAATACTAGGATTAAGGAGCAACATAGGGTTCTTTTTTTACTTTATAGAATACTTTCAATACTTTTTGTTGTAAATTGACAAATAAATCCCATTAAATAATAAATTTAAATCAAACCAATATGCACTTAATGAGGAATGTTGGGGAGGGGGCAGGAGTATGGGGGTAGTGGCAGTACACCTGTTCACAAAGTACATCTACAGGTCACTAAACGTCCCAGGGCATCAATCTAGTTTTATAGTCTAGCCTACTCAATTAAATTTGGTCCCCAGTAAACACAAAGCAGGAATTTTCAGGATCTGAATACAAATCACCTTTCTCAGGAATTTGAAAGCTTCTCTCCAGAAGAACAGAACATTGAACAGATGTGCCAAAGAGTGGCAAATAGATTTTAATGGAGTCAACTGATAGATTATACATATTGGAAGAGTTAGCAGGGAGCATTTTAAAGCCACGTTAAGCCAGTGTTCCCCGACAGAGCAGTGAGGTAGTGGGATCTGTGTGACAACAACAACAACAACCACAAGATTCCATTTATTTAGCGCCTTTCACGTCAGGAGGACGTCCCAAGGCGCTGTACAGTTGGGTCAGGACCCGAGCAGGGGGAAATGGTCAGGGTGAGGGGAGGGAAGGGAGGGAGCGAGGAGGGGGTAGAGAGTCGAGAGGGGAGCTGAAGGCTCAGGATCAGATGCATTACTGGCCAACTCAATCGCTGCAGCCTTTGGTAAAAATATTTAAGTTAAATGAGAGGTTTGTTCCTCCACACCAGTTACCATTGGGATATCTCCAGAAGCAGAATTTCCCAATATCACAAATTTTCACCTCTGTAAATGAAAAGAAGCTATTCCAAACTTGTTTAAAGCATGTTTACTGAGGCCTCAATTGGAAGGATAGTATGCTGCTCTGGGCACCCTGCCTTCCAAAGGACTTTGAAGATCATGACAATACAAACATAATATTTGATGTGGATTTAGACCATCAAAGTAGAAAGCTTCAAGCAGGACCAATATTATGGTATGAAGTGTGCAGTGTGTCATAACATAGTCAATGTGATAAATAGCCCGCATAATAGATTGGTGGAGCCACAGAAGTTTTGGCCACGGTACCCGTGCTTCCTCGAACCCTCCCAAAATCATTTTGCCTTGCGCCTTCTCATCCTGAATTCAAAATCCCCTAAAAACTCTCTCTTTGTCTGTGTATAATAATCAAAATGATTATTGGTGATTATATCTATAACCCTTGCATTTGATATAGAGCTTTATCACTTCTTTAAGACGTCTCAAAGTGCTTCACCATATACACTGTAAAGTGAATTGACTGTATATTTTGTAGGCAAAACTTGGTAGCTAATTGCGCACAGCAGTGTCCCACAAACAGTCACCGATTGAAGTGAACAATTCATTATTATTATTTTTTTGAAGGAATTATTACCCACGGAAACTTGGTCCGCCAATCGACTAACAACAAGGTTGCTACTTGCTTCTAGGTAAACAGAGGCATATGAAGTAAGGAAACTTCCCCAACATTTCGCCCTGCCGGGAATCGAATCCAGGTCTCTTACTTGCAGGCGAGTGCTCTAACCACTGAGCTAGAGGACTCCATCATGCTTGTATTTGATATAGTCCCTTATCATATTGTCGCAAAGTCTCAAAACCCTTCGCAGGATTTACTATGGAGTGCAGTGACAGTGTATTTTCTGGGTAAAGGTAAGTGATCCATATCCCCTCTGTAAAGTAGTTTGAGATATAGGAGTCCTGTAGCTCAGTGGTCAGAGTACTTGCCTGGCAAGCGAGTGACCTGGGTTTGATTCCCGGCAGGGGAAAACCTTTGGCAACTTTCCTTACTCAGCACGCCTGATAGTAATCTCTCCAGAAAAAAAAATAATTTGGTCACTCAATCCATGACTGTTTGTGGGACACTGCTGTATTTCGCCCACAAGTGCTCACTTTACCGTGTATTCCATGAAGCGCTTTGAGACATTTAGAAGACATGAAAAGCGCTATATCAAATGCAAGGATTATAGATATTACACTCTGCTTTCTCCCCACTCCACTACCTGCCGCCTCTGTTCGGCTGACTCCGGTCTCCTGCTTGTCCCTTGACACCCTCCGCTCTACCATCAGCGGCCATGCTTTCAGCCACTATTCCCTAATACTTTCAAAATCTGTCCTCAATCCCTCCACTTTCCACCATCTTCCCCATTTTCAGATCATGCCTGAAGATCCTCCTCTTCGACTGTGCTTACGGTTACTTCCACCCTCCCAATGGTTCGGCGTCAGGCTTCGCCCCACATGATGTGCGCTATATAAATACAAGTTGTTGTATTGTGAAAAGCTCTATAAAGTGTAAGTTATTTTAAGATAAGATGAAGATAGCTGCTGAATATGACTCTTGATCCTAAATAAATACTTGCTCATTTGTTGGAGCTAAATTACCTTTAAGGCTAATGCTTCAAATAATCCCTAATGTGGTTGAATATTCTGCCCCCATTTATATCAAATGCTCAAATATTGAGAGTAGCCTACACCAGTTTAAAATCTCAGATGAGATCAACTTTGAAAATAGTAACCATAAGAAATGTTCCCTGCTTTACCTTTGTGTGTTCTAAAATACAAATAGAGAAATGAATATTCAATGAATTTTATGTTTTGACCTTTGCCATAACATTGAATGTTGATGTCAGAAATGTTGATACTAATCCTTACTGATTGAATTGGTCTAATGCATTTTAAATCTCTTATTCTACTTCAACTCTCGGTTGCCACAGAATATTCAGATTGCATCCATGTTCTGTAAACCTGAAATGATCAATGGATAATTGTGCTCATATTTTATCTTCATAAAATTGTATATAATACTCATAAGTTTAATAATTATTTTAATCTTCTATAAAACTATTGGATGACATTTATGGATGTACCTGCACAAGGCACTGCTGGTCTTTCTTTGTTCTAAGTAGAGCAGAAGAAATAGAAACTTTACATGAAACTGATATGTATTATTGATGCTGTACAAGTTCTGCAATTCATTATACAGAATGTACTGTGGACTTAAAAATATGGCATTGACTCTTTATGAGACATGCCATAGAAAAGTTCTGGACAGGAAAATAAACGCAAACCCAAACCTAATTACTACTTGCATTTGATATAATGCCTTACAACATTGTTATTATGTCTCAAAGATCTTCACCACATTTTTTAATGTGGTGAATACAGTCATTCAATAGAATGACTGTATTCTGTATGCAGAAGTCAATTTGCACATAGCAATGTCCCACAAACAGCCATAAGTTGCAATGGTTAATTTTGTCTGGAGGATTATTGGCCAAGACACCAAGAGAAACTCCATCCTCTTTTCAAATAGTGCCGTGGGGTCTTTAGCGTGCATCTAAACCGACAGAGAGAACCTCTGTTCATTCAAAGGACAGCACCTCCGACAATAAAGCTCCACTAATATTAAAATGTCAGATTGGACTGTGAGCTCAAAGTCAAAGGGACTTGAATCCACAACCTTCTGATTCAGAGGCAAGAGTGCTATCAAATGAGCCATGCTGAGTGCATGTAATAGTGGAGTGGGAGGTAAATCAGAATGGGTTATTTTAGCTCTCAGTGGATTTGGATACCTTTTAATACAGAAGCATAGACTAAAGTAATCTGAACAAAATTCCTGTAAAATTAAATGACTGTCCTAGAGCTGAACATGAATCTAGTCTTAGTCTGTAAACCATTTTGTATTAAAATTTATGATTGCACAGAATTGTACACAACTGTGAGAAAGTCTGTCTGTCCAGGGCCTTGGGACATCCTCCCGATGTGAAAGGTGCTATACAAATGTAATTTTGTTGTTGTTGTTGTTGAAAGCCAGGTTCAGAATTCTTAAACAGTCTGCTTTTTTAAAAAAGACCCTAAACTAGCCTCGAAATTAAGATGTTGTGCGAACTCAGATTTAGAATCACGGAAGTGTTTCTTAGGACCACTCTGACTCAACTAAAAGAGATAATCGAGGCATAGGTTTTCCCAAGTCTGTGTCTGTGTCTGGGCATTGTCTCCTTTGAACATGATCATCTGTGTCAGTTTTCAGTCGAAAGGAGTAGCTAAGGGAAATTGCCCACTGACCCATTACAGAATCCTATACTGTATTGCAAGCGAAGACACCTGGGTTCAATTCCAGGCAGGGCGAAACCTTGGGCAAGTTTCCTTACTCCACACGCCTAATAATAATCCCTCCAAAACAAAACAATAATAAATTGGTCATTTTCAATCCATGACTGTTTGTGGGACACTGCTGTGCGCAATTGGCTGCTGCGTTTCGCCCACAAATATTCTATTCTAAAAGTCTATTCTGTGAAGCGCTTTGCGAGGTCGAGAAGACATGAAAAACGCTATATCAAATGCAAAGATTATTATTATTATTATTATTACCGGTATTTTCTACAGCCCATTTAATTTCTCTCTGTTCACATTTGGAAGTTTTTGTGCAAAATGAAATGGACTGGGAAGAACAATTAGAAAATGATTGAATAAACAAGCGCAAATGCCTACAAATGATTCATTACATTTGATAGCAGTTGCCTGGAAAGACTTTAAAGCATTTTAACGACAATCTATCAAAATAAAAGACTTTTGAAGCAGTATTGAACTCAGGCACTCTTTTAGCAGGTTTTGGTCTCCAAAATTATGAAGCTGCCCACTTTATTTAACCAGAGGTTTTGCCAAGCATGTAACATTGAACAATGATAGTACCCACTGTGACGGTTACTGATGGTATTTTTATCGAGTGATTTTTCATTTCTCTCGTTTCCTCGCAGGCTCTTTCTGAAAGGTTACAGTGGCACTGCAGGGAGGCAAAGCAGTTTGGTCTTACATGGAGCAAGTTTTAGCACCAAAGATCTGGATCATGACAACTGCATTTGCAAGTGTGCTCAGATGTTAACAGGAGGTAAGGCAGTTAACAGCAGGTCTCTTGACTTTGTTTTAATTGCAATGAAATGCTTTCTTTTCACCCTCTCATCAGACTCAAAGACCTGGCGCTGGGCAGCATTCATCATTGGGAATCACACTTAGTCAAGGATAAACTGCTACATCTGGCAGAAGTTGTGGATGAAATCCAAAGTCAAATGTCATACATCAGGCAAAGTGTTTGATCCCTGGAGGCCATTGCAGTTCACCCAAAGGCTTCATAACAATTGAAACAGTTGAGGTTTTGAGGATGTCTGCATCTTTGCTGTAGTTTTTGTACTGCATTTTTGCTGACTAATCGCTGACAAAAACGTCAGTACAAACGGGGGCTCAGATAACACGAATCAAGCCCGAAAGAGATGGTTTCAGGAGCAGTGTAATTCACACTTGTGCTGTATAATCCAGGTGCCTGACTCCTCTGAAGGCTGTTAACTAGTTGCCTTTCCATAGCCAGGAACACTTACCTGATCGTTTTTTTTCTTTAAAAGCTGATCTCGATACTTGCTTTTCATTAACACAAACATCTGGTTTTGGCACACATCGATAAAACAGTAAGAGGGCAATCATAGAGGATTTTAAAACCCTAAGAAGCCCAAAGGGGGTTCAAAAGAAAATGAATAGAAGATAAGGAACATGTTAAACTACTCATTTAGGCTTTATTTTAAAATGGAGTTCAATGAAAACCTACCTCCTAATATCCATCAAACATTGTTTGAGCTCCACAACTTTGATAAGTGAGACTGATAGCTGAAAACAACAACTCCCAAGATTGATGAACTGCACTACAGGTATTTAGGGAGACAAGTCAGGAGATTTGTTTTGTGTACAATGATTGGTAAGTCAGTCACCACTGGTGAGGTTCTAACAGGCTGGAAGCAAGCACATGTGGTTTTTATATTCAAGAAACATGACAGAACCATGCCCTGCAACTATAGACCCATTAGTCTGACCTCAATATTGGGAAAATTATGGAGTCAATCATTAAAAAAATTACTTATATAAAAAAGCTTAATAAAGGATATCCAGCACGGGTTTAGATTGGGTAGATCCTGGTTAACCATCCCCATAGATTTTCTTGAGAGGATGACATACCAAATTGATTATGAGAAGCTATATAATGTAATATATCTATATTTCCAAAAGGTGTCTGACAAAGCACCACATAAAAGGATCCTTCACAAACTGAGGTCACAGGGTATCAAGGGTAGAACAAAGACATAGTTTCAAAATTGGATGATGGGAAAGAAGCAGAGACTGGTTTGTTAGAGGAGCTAGGTTAAATGGGGGAGGTAATAGTGGGGTGCTTCAGGGGTCTGTACTGAGACCCTTTATGTTCCTTGTATACATTAATGACCTAGATTCTGAAATTCAGTGTAAGATAATTGAATTTGTAGATGTCACCAAGTTGGGGGAGGTGCGGAATCAGAGGAAGCAGCAAAAGTCTTACAAACAGAGTTTGATAGTGTATGTACATGACTGATAAATTAAGGTCAGTTCAAATAAATTCAAGGTGCTGTATATGGGACTTAAAATAGGAAATACATTTAATCCATGGATGGTATAGATTTTATCAATGGCAGATGTCCTATAATTGTTGCCAATGTTACTCAATATTGATATTTCACTGTTGTGGTAAATACGTAGTTTAAAAGAATCTTGCTGATCTAATGGTGATGTAGAGCGAAAGATTTACAACACCAATGCAGTAAAGGCACTTAAATAAACAATCTGCAGTGTTCAAACTGGATTAGCAGCTGCTAACCACAATATTAGAATGTGTGAAATGCATGAGACGCCCATTCATAAGATGATAGGATATGAATAGAAATAGCATATAAATAGAAAAGAATTGTGTGGGCGAGGAGGTGTCAGAGAGCTAGTTGAAATATTAGCAGATAGTCAAGTGCTTCAATTAGCAACAGGTCTTCCAGAATAGAAGCTGTCAGACAGTCTGCCAATGGTGTTGCCGCACATACAGAACCATTCTTTGACATTTGCAGTCTTAGAATGCGGACTCTATCACGGATTAGTGTCTGTGTGCCATGTTATCAAATTGAGTTATTTTAATACACAATGGACCAATAAAGCTGCAGTGTAACAGTAAAGTGGGCGACAGACAAATTAAAGCACACAGAGGGTAGGGGGAGAAGGAGGGATTCCTTCAAGCAATTGGCCCTTTCCAGACTGGAGCTGTCTCATGATGCGGCTAAACCATTGAAGGGCACTGCAAAGTTGCTGACAAGCATACCTCATTCTCGAATAGTTTTATCTAAATTATCGTAAAGATTTCCCTCCGTGTTTTTGATATGATTCTGATGACAGAAATGACAAATTCATTCTTAGAATATATTCTTATTGTTTGTTTTCTTTTTAACAATGACCAATTGCATGACAAATTTACAGGCTTGAATGTGTATGTTAAATATTTTGGTCAGAATTGGGAACCAGTGCCCTGCTCTCTGGAACTTATCTCAGAGTCCCTCTGTCTTGCCCTCCCCACCTTTATAACCTGCCTTAAGTCTGGTATCTTCAATTTTGCTTCAGCCTAATTCTCACCCAGTTTAGGCTCCCAAACAGTTGTGTGAAGTGCTTTTAGGTGTCTTCCCAATGTGAAAGGCACTGTAAACATAAACATTTCTGTTACTGTTATGTGACTGCCAGCAAATAAAAACAGAAATTTAATGTTACTCAGACAAATACAAACAAAGTTTATTTCTTAAATAAGTCACCCTGTACGCTGTTATTTTCAACCCTTACTCACATAGCTGTTGAACTAACACAGCTTTGGGGAGATTGAATGTGTGTGTCCAGGGAAATTGATACAGCTAACTAATGAACTCCTATTTTCAAGAGCAGCTTTATGTGAAAAAGCAAACAATGGAACATTTTGACAACTCTATTGCCCCGTGACAACTGTTTGTTTTTACTAAACTAACACATGGGCATTTTTTTCTCTCTCTCTCTTCTCGGCTATTAAGTAAAACAAGCAAGCTCTTGTATCTTACAGTGCTCATTGTACAGTTCCCTTCATGTCCTATCAGCAACTTCACATCCTCTCAGGAGGTTGCAAGGGAACTGAAAAAAGGGTCTCAGGCTGTGCTTTTCTCAAATGCCAACTGTTCAGTGCAATGTGCGGCTCAATTAAGAATTCCAACAGTTTTTCTATTATGTGATTTGCAAGATAATGAACAAAAACATTTTCCTGGGGGATAATAAAATCAATACAGAATCAATCAATATTCTCAAGTTTCACTTAAATCCAAAAATCGTGTTCATTTATTGTCAGAAGTGAATTCACGTCACTGTTGCAAGTTCACTTCTGATCACATGCTTCCTGCACCTCAATCGTTCTAACTTTCACTGCTCCAGCATTAACAGAAGGCAGACCCTCACTTTTCCCTTCCTTTGAAAGAGCTCTTTCATTCATTTTACTAACACATTCCGTTAAATGACCATAAAATCAAATCATTCTTAGCTGATGTCTCCCCAAGGAGATCTTATCACCATGTCCTTTTTGAGACCGAGGAGATTAGCTATAGAGTTATAGACTACAGAACTGGACCTTAACTCCTACTGTGTTCACTTAATTAAACTTATCAGATAAACACTCCCACTCAGTGAGAAGTAGCAACTAGAGAACAAAATCAAACATTATTCAGACACTGTTTATTCAGGGTTGGGGTTTGGATTCAAAGACCCAAGGTTTTCGATTCAGATACATATTCAGAGTTTGGATCAATTTACTGCTTTCTTTCAAACACTCTACTCAACACATTCTGAGGTATTCCCCACTGTTTGGTAAATTCATTGACCTTAGCAGAGTAATCGTATACTATAATGTGATTTATTTTGCCTACAAAATATACATTCGCTACACCTCACAGTAAATGCTGTGAAGTGCTTTGAGACTTCATTCTAACATAAAATGCAAGGATTATTATTATCTATTTTTATTTCTCTATTTCTGGTGGGAGTACTTTAAATAAAAATACTGCCTACTCACTTCACTCTTCCATGGAGGGATGACAGCATTCGATCCGCGCAGAGTCAAGCACACAATGACTGCTGATTCCTGACCTTTAACTGATAACATTTCTAATATTGTAACTGTAACAAGCTGACAGGAGCCCAGTCTCCCACTGGCACCTCTCATCTGATACATAGGGAACTATACTACATATCTGGCATCAATGACGTCCAAATACCCCCTACCTACCTGCCCGTACCCTCCGTTCCTCTGGCTCCGGTCTGCTCCACATCCCCCGTCCCACCCGCCCTACCATCGGTGGCCGGGCCTTCAGCCTCTCAGCCCTGAGGCTCTGGAACTCTATCCCCCAGTGCCTTCGCCGCCTCCTCCCTTTCCTCCTTCGAGGCCGGTCTCAAGACATTTCTCTTTGACCGTGCCTTCAGCTCCCCTCTCGACTCTCTACCCCCTCCTCGCTCCCTCCCTTCCCTCCCCTCACCCTGACCATTTCCCCCCTGCTCGGGTCCTGACCCAACTGTACAGCACCTTGGGACGTCCTCCCGACGTGAAAGGCGCTCAATAAATGGAATCTTGTTGTTGTTGTTGTTGTTGATACTCGCTCCACACTAATGGCAAATATACATGTTATTTTATGTAGTGTTCAATCTTACTGCAATCTCTAAATAGGCAACTGAATCCAAACCTTGAGCCTCTGACTCCAAACTCCAAGTATACCTTGGTTTAACATTTCATCCAAAGGACAGCACCTTTGCGAATGCAGTGCTCCTCCAGCACTGCACAGGAATGTCATGTTAGACTCTGAATCAAAAAGTCCTGAATTCAATGTGAGCACACAACGTTCTGACTCAGGGGATTAAAGTACTGCAATTGAACTAGGGTGACACCTGAGAGTATGTGTAAGATTAAGAGTAGAAAGATGTCTCTAACAAAAAGATCAGTGTAGAAAATGGTTTTGCCCGTGTTATTGCATTTTATTTAATTCAGTTAATAACTAAGGTGATCAATGGGTAACTTCCAACACATTTGCTGCAGGCTGGCAATGGCAGGTTGCTACTTTGGTTTCCATCCCTACGATCCTAAAGCTCTATTATGAACCGTGGGTCTCATTACGTTGAACTTCATAGAGACAGTTTGGATCCTTGGTTTATTACAAACTATGAGGGAGTCTTTTCAAAACTAAAAGAGCGCACATGGGCTCTTCAGAAATGATCATAAATTAATCAGTTTTGCCCAGTGCTTCTTGTTCATGTCCATTGAAATGTTTTTCTAATCTGCTTTCCTACAGGATGGTGGTTTGATGCCTGTGGACCATCCAACCTGAATGGAATGTATTACTCCGCTGGACAAAACCTAGGAAAACTGAATGGAATAAAGTGGCACTACTTTAAGGGCCCGAGCTACTCCTTACGGGCTGTGGCCATGATGATTCGGCCATCGGTCTTCTGAATCAGAAGATTTTCATGGGACAGAAACACTTAACATCTGAAACTGGATCGAAGGAATTTTTGAACATTTCCTCGAGCGATCCTTTCTTCTCTCTCTGTAACAATGGATATAAAGTACTGATGGAGCCAAGACTCCAGGTCCATTAACAAGCTCATTCTATCACCAGCCTACGGGCCACATTAACACGTCATGATTTATTTTTAATGGAATGTTGACTTTGCTTTCTACTGTTTGGCTGATTATATGGTAGACTGTGATAGGTGTGAGCTACTTGAGTTGGGGAATGAAAGAGAAGGGGAGGAAAGACATTAATACTTCAAATATGTGTATCTGGTGAATTATACTGTGGCTTTTCAACTGCAGCCATCACTTCAGCTTCAGTGAGCATCAATAATAGAATTACCTACGCACAGACTTTCTTTTCCATGTGTTCCTTAGTCAGATTCCACCTTGCATTATTTCATGGATTTCAGAGATTGGGCGTAGATTGGAAATGGATTGTGTGGCACCTGGTTTACCACAGCAGAGCAATTCTGGTCGCAGCGCGGCATTTCTTACTCCCAGTCGTGATAACAGCTCCACAGATGCAGGCTCACAGTCCTGTGTATGGCTTCATTTTTGTAACCCTTTCAAAGCTTCTTGAACAGAATGAGTAAACAGAACAATTCAATTACAAGTCAAAACAGATACAAGAACAAGTCAATTACAGTTTCTGTCAAGTACAGAGCCGGCCACATTGGAAGGCTGGGTTTGCTGTGCTCTACTGGAGACCTGCCTTACCCAGAAGCCTGCTACACCTGACTTCCACTGGTCATTGGTTGGCTTCTTGTACAACAAAATGGTCTGGTTTTCAAAATGTTAGGTCACGATTAATGTTATTTCTGTGTCTATGCACAGGAGACACCTCTAACATCACTTCCTGTGTGATTCACATGTGCAGTTCCCTTCATGCTCTGTTGATGTTATTTCACTCAAGAAGTGATATCAGCAGCACTTTTTAATAATAGTTACATTTAACATTTAATAATATGTAATTTTCACATCAGGAGCACATCTCAAAATGCTTCACAGGATATACTGTAAAGTGCAGTTACTGTATTTTGTAGGCAAACATGACAGCCAATTTGCGCACAACAATTTCCTACAATCAGCCATGAAGTGAATAATCAATTTTATCTGGACATTGTTGGCCACAGGACATCGGGAGAAACTCCCTTCTCCCTGCCATGGGATCTTTAGTATCCACCTGAATAGGCAGTCAGAACCATGTTTTAACATCTCATCTGAAGGACAGCACCTCTGACAATGCAGCACATCCCAGCAGTACTGGAATGTCAGTCTAAACTATGAGCTCAAAGTCCGGATGTGGGGCTTAAACCCACAACCTTCTGACTCAGAGGCGAGAGTGCTATCAACTGAGACAGGCTGACAATTGCAAACTCTTGCATATAGTAACATTCAGGAACTGACATCAGTGGTGACCTGATAGATGACCATTAATGCAGCATATGAGACATTGGATCCAGAGTACAGTGTTATAATGGGGCAACAACAACTTGTGTTTATATTGTGCCCTTTATGTAGAGTAGTGACTCGGAGCACTTACTTTTAATGGAGTCGGTTTTTATGTAGCAAGTGGTGAAGGTATGTAATTCAGTTTATTTAATATACCCAGGGAGGTAAGTGTTGGTGAGGAGTGGGGTGGATGTCCTAAAAAAAAGTGAGGTCCAGAAGATACAAAAGAGAGGGATCACCCTGATAATGGCTCAGTTTGTGACTTTTCTCAATGATTCATTGGTTATGGTACAACTTTGTGGTTTCAAATATGGAAAATATCTGAATGGCAAAAACAATAATGGGACAAGACTATACATTGAGGATGCACATTTCAATATTCCTTAACCATTTAATTATATAATGATATTAATAATAATCCTTGTAGTTGACATAATGCCTTTCACGTTGGGAGGACATACCAAAGTGCTTCATGGTATGTACTGTAAAGTGTAGTGATTGTGTATTTTGTAGACGAATGCTCTAATTTGCACATATGCAATGTCCCACAAATAGCCATGAAGTAATACAACCTTGTTACTGAAGATTTAATAAGTGCTTTTAGTACGTACAAATTAAGCTTTGTATCTATGTTACACACTCTGTGGTCCCCAAACCTTGGATCTTGCCAAAATGCACCTAATACAGGATGCATCCTTCCAGAGAGTGAGCAATCCATCCTAACAACCTATCTCTGGGATTTCCGTGTGTAGATGGGATGCATGGAAACTCAGCTTAGTTTGGATACTCTTAAGCATGGTGATGGGTTTCTGCATGTGTCAGACATCTGGCTGTCTCTAGATTCATTAAGCAGTCAACAGAAACTACATACATTACAGTCCCCATACAAATGCAACACGCATAATGTTGCAATCTCCCATGTAACAAAGATTATCCGTATCCAAGCATTAAACCCTTATAACACTTAGCCATTGTAAATCACAATGCCACTAGAAAGAGGGAAAACAACTAATACTCCTGGTCACTATCTGCTAGAAAACAGGAGTGTGCATGAGTATGTGTGTGACTGTATGTGTATGAAATATTGAGTGAGGACAGGATATGGCTTAGCACGGTGCTTCCCATGGTCACCTACATTGCCATCAAAATCAATGCCTTGACTCACATATGGAGAATTGACACGTGGGCAAAGTTCCAATCTCCAGCATAAGCATAAATACCTTCTGACAGATGGAGAAAAATTAGAAAAAAGGAAACTGCAAAAACTTTTCAATTGACAGAAAAAAATGACATGGGCCTTTATTTATGGAGGTTTAATTTCCTGTTAAAAACAGATACGAAATACAAAAGTCCTAAACACTCAGTATAATAATATCCCTTGTGTTCTATGTAGTACCTTACAATATAATAGTTAAAATTTATATAGCACCTTTCATGTTAGGAGGCGGTCTCAACGCATTGATCACATTAAAACATCTCAAATCGCTTCATAGGCATGAGGTGAATGACCAATTACTTTGGACGATTGGCCAGTGCACTGAGAGAAGCTCTTTTCATGTTTCAAATAGTGTCATGGGATCTTAACATCCAGCATGCGCTGGAGTGGCGGTTGAGTGAGCTCAAAGTCTTCACATAGGCTTTAAACTCATCTGACCCAGAGGCAAGAGTGCTTCCGACTGAGCAAAGCTGATACTTAGTATGTTTCTTATAAAGTTCCTGGAGTGTAAGGAATAAAGAACATTTTCCAGTGTAAGACTCCTCAGAAAATAAGGCTTTTTCATGTCTAGCTGCTGATTTTTGCTGTTCCCTTTATTTTCTTGAACTGACACTGAAACACAGAAGTCCACACAGATGTTGTCACATTCAGACAGCTTGACATGTGTTTCTTTTCTTTTCTTTGGAGTTAACAATTTATACTCTGTGTAGGAGGGTATAAACTTCATGTAGCTCATATGTTCAGTTACTGCGTAGGCATACTACAACAAGATGGTTGGAAAGGATTCTGTACAGCAACAGACGTTAAGAAAACTATTCAACCATATCCAGGAAATAGATTTAAGATTATCTAAATCGGAGAGGATATCAATGACCTTTTAGGATAAGCAGGCATTTGGGTTGGTTGCTGTCTAGTCATTTTATAAAGCTGTAAGGATATCACTGTTCCATTTGACTGCATTAGGATGCAGATGTCAGTCTGGTAGTTGTGACATATTAAATAGTGCCCTTTGACTGTAGTAACAAAGTGGAAACAAATGTGTAGATTAAAATCATAATCCCAGATGCCAGCTAAGGAGTTATTGCATTCTCACCTTTTCTTAGACTTTTTGGTCATTTTCGTATAATAATAATAATCCTTGCATTTGATATAGCGCCTTAACAAATCGTCAAGACATCTTAGAGCACTTTACAGGATATACTGTAAAGTAATGTGAGTGTTTTGTAGATCAACGCAACAACCAATTTTCATGCAGCAATGTCCCACAAACAGCCATGGAGTAAGTGACCAATTTTATTTGGGGGATTGTTGACCAGGACACCGGAACCACTCCCTTCTCTTTCCAAATAGTGCTATGGGATCTATTACATCCACCTGGACAGGTAGATGGGACTTTGGTTTAACGTTTCATCTGAAAGACAGCAGTTGCAGCATTGCAGCACAATCGTAGCACTGCATTGGATTGTCGGCATAGATTATGTGGGTTCCAAGTCCTAATGTGGGGCTTGCACCCACAACCTTCCGACTCAGAGGTGAGAGTGTTACCACTGAGCCAGGTTTCTTGGGCGGAAATTGCAGGAAAACAAAATGCCATCACGATTGTAACTTAGCATTTCTGAATACCCCATTTTAGGCCCCCCCTTGGCTCTTTCCCTCTTCCTCTCAGCCTAGTGTCAGTAATTAACCAATTCCAGTTCAGGCACCCATTCAATCAAGCTTCCCCCCTTCAAATACACTACACCAATACCACAGAAGCATTAACACGATTCTTTTCATGGAAACTATTAAGTGATATTAAGCATTAAGCAGTGGAGGGAAATGTTATTAAAATGTTTGTTGTTTCAAGAATGAAGGATGCTGAAAAAACACCTGAAGCAGTTCTGTAATTTTTTTTGAGGAAAGCTTTTTAAAAGTAGATATTCTCTGCACGCGTTTATTATAAAAGAGATTTCTGATATATTTTAAAGACAGTCTTGTATTGTCCTGTTTTGTTTTCTGGTCCTTTTTGTATTAAAAAGTAATACATAAATATATCAACATGAAAATAAATGTTATTTGACAGTGTGTTTGGCCTCCAATCTTCATATGAAGTAATTGGAGAACTAGAGGCACAAAATCTCACCTAGTCTTAGTCTGTAAAACCATTTTGTGCAGAACTGTAGAAAATTTTTAAAACCCAGTTTCCATTTGGAAGCTGGTTCTTTTTAAGTAATGCATAAAATTGGCATCCAAATAAGATTGAATTGAATTGAAGGATCTTCTACATTTTTAAGACAAAACAGTCTTATAGACTAAGACTTGCTGAAATTTCGAGCCTTGAGACTTGTAAAATATATGTTGCTTGATTATATATTATTTTTGTTACTTGAGAACAGAATGTGGTTTAAAGTTTGTACCTTTATTAAAACTGACCAACCAGCTTGCAGTTGTAAAGATTTTGTTTTTACAATGTTCAAGGTCATAAAGATGAGGACCTGCAGACTGGATCACTTTTGTTACCCAAGGTGGGATTTCTATTTGTCACTAAATTTACTGACCTTGGTAATCCTGTGCATCTTATTCTCTGCTGATCCAGTCTCTTGAGGACACTGAATTTATCTACTGGTAGAGAATAATAATATTATCCTTACATTTGATGTAGCGCCTCATCATATCATTGAACACCTTAAAGTGATTCACAGTATTTACTGTAACACTTAGTGACTGTATTTGTAGGCAAAATATGGCAGCCAATTTACGCACAGCAACATACCACAAGCGTCGATGAAGTGAATGACCAATTCTATCTGGGGGATTTTTGGCTGGGATAAAATGTGCTCCACCTGTCAAGGTCACTATAATTAAAAACAAAATTGGCTAGCAATTTTATAGCATCTCATCACGTTGAACTGTCTCCAAGTACTTCACAACTATTCATTGTCAAGGATAGTGGCTGTTCATGTAGACA